CAGAGATGCTGGGATTCACCTTCAGAGCTCATCATCTAAATAACAGTCAGCAGAGGGAGCAGCTGCCTGCAAACTCTTTGTCTAAGAATGTAAGATGAGTTGTTTTCCTGGTGACCTCTTTTTCTCTGCTGACAGCAAACCTTTAGACTGCTGAAGTTAAATGGAATGAGTTCCCAGCTGATTCTAAAGTAAAACTAAACAGAAATTGATGTTACCCTTACCCATCTTGTTTGCTAAAGAAAATGTAGGTTCTTTCTCCTTCATATGGCTTGAAATCAATGCAGGATTTCAGGCGGAACATTTCAAATGCCTGGAGAATGACTCCTTTGGCATTCAGGTCTGGAAAACAAGGACAGAACCTTTAATATGTTGCTGTTTTTTCACCTTGGAGAGGTAAGATATGTACAGAGACACATGTGGAACCAAAGGAAAAATGATTGAAAAGAGAAATTATTGAATTCGATAGAATTGTGGTTTGCTATAGAAGCTGTAGAAGAAAGAAAAATAATTTTGCTACAAACAAGACTACAATAAGTAGTTAGTAGTGAAGTTTAATATTTTAAATTTGAAACAGTTCTGGAAAAGGCAAATTTTTTATCATAGTGACTGCAGTGCAATTAAGGATTGGAGATAAAATCTGAATAAAATGTTTGCATTACCTAGGTCATCACCCAGAATATAGGGAATGGGGAACTTCCATCTGTAGGTCTCATTTCTTAAGGCATTTCGCTGATTTTTCTGAAAAGAGAAGTAACAGCTGGTGATGCATCTACTGTAGGGACATGAGCTGATTTGTAGCAAAAAAAAAAACCAATTAGGACAAGCAACAGAAAGCTTTTAATTACTTACAGGGAGTAAGATATCACCCTGAAAGAGGTCCAGTCCAGCAGCTGAAATGCAATTTAATCAAAGATAGTGTCAATGAATTTCAAATGTATTTAATTTCATAAACCACATTGAACCTGCTTAGGCAAAGTTAATGTCCTTGGACATCTACAGAAAATAAATAAGGACCAGCCTCTATACAGTGAGATATAAGTAATAATAAAAGTAACAGCAGTTTCTAGTTTCTACTCAGTATTTACTTCTTGGCGATGTCTGCCTTTGTGGTGGCACCATTATCCATGCTCACCTTTGATGAGCTCTGCTTGCTCTCAGGCAGTGACAAGAATCACACAATGGGACAGTGATCAATAAATATATAACTTGTTTTCCATGTTTGCAAAACTTCATAAATATCATATAGAGATAGGCAGAAAATGCAGTTGGGACCGCAGAGACCTTCCAAATCATAGTGTTTTTCTGCCTTAGCATCATGGGTCTGTCCAAACTTCAGAAACAAGATATCTGCATACTTTATTTACACAGAGTTGCAGCCCTGGAAATATTCAGGAGTCACAGGGAGAGGAAGGTAATTCTGAGCTCACTTGATTTTAATTTTCTTGTTACCATGAACTACCTGACCATCAGCCTCCTTTACAATACTGAAAATTCAGCATTATGCTCACAACTCTTCAGGCCTCATGAGAATTTAGGCATGAACTCACCCAAGTTGATTTGGGGAATGTCTTTGAATATCTCACCAGCTCCAGCATCTGCAAGACAGCCAAAACAGAAAGTGTTTGGGCATGGTGGCTCACATCAAGTAGAATGAAATGCTTCAAAACTCAATCCAGCTCACACAGCACTTACCAGCTTCACTGGAGAGGTGTTCCACCTAGAGGAGAATGGAATACAACCAGTATGAGGTATGAGATGCCTCTGGACTGAGAGGAGCCTGTAGAAATCAGGTTTTACTTACAGAGACTGGAGAGCCATAGGCAGAACATAGCAGAAGTGTCAGGCAGAGTGGGAAGATGCTGGAGCCCATTTTTGCAGTGGGAACAGAAGCTGGTCCCTCTCATCTCTGGCAATATATAGGGCATGTTGCTGAGCTTTCCATGGAGCACCAGCCAATCAGCTCCAGACTTTCCACCTTTGGAACATTATTATAACAGTTAGATTTCCCCCTGGATGGCACCTGATGGCATTGCTCTTATCAGCTACCTAAGTCCACTTGGAGCAATATTGCAGAGAGGAATGTGGTAACTTCATGTCTTCAATGCAGCTGGTGAAAGACCCACCCAGACTCCACATAACAGCTTCTCCATCTGGCCTAAAGTTGCTGACTCTCTCCCTTATGTTTGTTATCTGTCAGCATTATGGTCTTGACTGCTCAGGAGAAAAGCCACACTCTTAAGCAGAAATATCACAGGTTTATAGCACTCTAATGCCACTACAATTTGGCCCAGTGCTGCTTACAATTAATAATTACCTCACACTGTAAAGATTAGAAGAGAGATATGATTATGAATTTCCTGACAGTGTTTTTTCTCAGCTGATCCCATCCCAGAACTGATGCTCCATACACAACCTGCCACACTCTGCCTCCAGAAGCGTCACTGACAGCAGTAATCCTTGGCCTTCCAGGTGGGTTTCAGAGATCACAAACTCTTGTCCTGCATCTTGCTATCTTTGTTCTCAGGGACATGGGTCAGGAAGGGCTCCATAAATCTCTAGTTTGCTGTGCATCAGTATTCCCACAGCTCCTGTGTGCCCTGGAGCCTTCAGTTTAGGCATATAATCCTGCTCCTTCATTTCACATCTGGAATAACAAGTCATGGAAGTGAGGATGTTCACCTCTGTGCTCAGCAATTAGATAAGACAGGGCTGTGCCATGACACCACTACCCACAGCATGAGGCAGAGAACTTGAGTAAGTAGGTTTTGAGTAGGAAATGGGTCTGTCCTAGAAAGGAGTCAGTCCTTCAACCTAAGCAACATGTTTTTCTCTAAACAAATCAAAGTAGGAAGCTATTCATATGAGATAACATTGCCAAGGAAAAAGCACAGAGATCTTTTCTTGTTTGGAGAAGAAGAGCCCCAGAGCACTAATCTTTCACCTAACATAAATGAATGTTCTTCAACACTTTATTTTAGGAATGGCTGTTTCTGACACCTAAGCTGAACAGGATGCACTACTAGTAAAATAAGCATGCCTCAAGATATATCATGTCAAAGCTGTTTCCACAGGCAAGCAAAGAGGGGGAAAACACAGCACCAAGGCCATATTTCCAGATGTTTGGCAGTGGATGCGAGAAAGGAAGCAAAAAATTGAAGCAAAAGTAGATCTGTCTGAAAATCACTTAGTTTTTAGTACCTTTAAAATAAATCAAGAACCTAAAGATGATGTCTAAAGTCATTCTGAGGGCATATATTTATTTTCATAGGTATATATAGGGGATCTCTTGGACACTTTTTAGGCACTGGACTAGGTTCTAAGGTCTCCCTGGAGCCTTCTCTTCTCCAGGCTGAACAGCCTCAGCTCTCAGCCTGGGTCCATAGCAGAGGGGCTCCAGCACCAGTCTCATTTTGTCCTCTCTGGTGGGCAGTGCATGCACATTATTCCATTGGCTGCAGTTCTGTAAAAGACTTGATGATGGGAAAAGCTGTTCCTCTTCCACTCCACCTAGTATAGCAGATGCCTTTTGGTCTCTTACACCACATTGCATGAAGTGCCCAAAATTGCTGTGCATCAGAATTGTCACACCCAAAGGGAGATCCACCCTGGATTCCTAGACACAGGCACTACCTGGTGTCACTAAGTGAAGATAATACCTTCTGTTAATCTGCTTGCACTGGTTTTAACTCCACTGGAACACAAATAAACTCAAACAGAAATGTGGCTGAAATTTATGTCCTTCATAAAAGTAAGAATGAAAACAAGTATCTCCTGAACTGGAAAAACTGTCATATCAAAGTGGCCCCAGCCACATTTTTAATAAAAAAATTACCCATCCAGATTCCCCATTTTTATGTAAGTCTTTTTCCCATTCAAGAGCTTGAAATCAACATAAGCCTGAACTTGTCAAATGCCTCCAGGTTAACAGCTGGAGCATTCAGAATACACAGCAGGGGATAACAACAGCAGTTGCTCGGCTTTTAAAGTATTATAAATATCTATAATTCTAGATAGAAATAATGATTAAAAATAGGAGGCATATATAAAAAATACCTAGCTGGATGAAAGAGCAGGAGGCTCTTAGCAAAATCCCCTGACAGGAATAATTTTGGCAAAGGTCATAGACAGATAATCCTTTATGAGATAAACTGATAGTGCTGAGACAAACAAGGAGGCTTCTGAATATCCAGGGCATTGTTCAGGTATCAAAGGAAAATTTTACTACATGTTATATTGTAATCTGTAATGTTGTCAACTTCAAGCATAAAGCCACAAAAACAGATAAAGGACAGATACCTGTGATTTTAAAAGAATTTTACCATATTTTTTTTCCTCCTGAAATATTTAAAACTTAAAATAGAGCTTAAAATCAAACAGTGACAAGGATAATGCTCTGAATTACTTTACTTAGAAAATATCTGCATACACTCTCGTCCTGTACTGAGCTAGGACAGGTAGGAAGAGACAAGAAACAAAGGGTAGAGCAGGTCAATATGAACATTTCCAGATTAGAATTCCCAGACTTGATTATTCATCTCACTGCCTTAGCTGTACTTTGCTCAGTGCAAACCCCACTCTGAGTGATAGTCACAGGCAAAGGAAGGGACAGAGGAGGCCAGATCCTGGAGCCTGACCCTGATCAAACAGGGCTCACTCTCAAATGCACAGCACTCTCCACCGCAGAAAAACATCTCGGCTCTTTGTGTCACCCAACACAGCCCCCCTGAAGCAACATTCAAATAGTCAAGAGTGACACTGGCCCCGGGTAAGGGGATACCCAGCACATTTACATCCCTGCACCTGCCCTGCTCCCCACACCAGCGGCACCAAAATCCCCCCCAGCACCACCACCAGCAGCAGCAGCAGCAGCAGCAGCAGCAGGAGCTCTATAAAGCTCCTCTTGCCATCCCTGACACTCCAGCACCAGCAGCCACTGACCTGCCTCAGGCACTGCTGCCACAGCCCCTTGGCCAGCACAGCTCTGCTCCCCAGCTTGCAGCATGGAAGCTTGTCACTCTCCACAGCAATCCAATGTCACTTCATACGGGGCCACCACTGTGGCCATCGTCACCCTGGAGGCGTTTGCTGGCATGTGGATAAACGCTTTCATCGTTTGTGTGCTTTGCCTTGCCTGGGTCAAAAAGAAAACCCTGAACTCTAATGAGAAGATCTTGCTGCTGCTGGGATGCACCAGGATTTCCTATTTGTGCCTCTTATGGGTATACGACTTCCTTTTAATAATTTATCCCAATTACCTTTATGTTCACCCCATATTTCAATTAATTTCATCTTTTACAACCTTTTTTAACTATTCCAACTTGTTGGTTTCAGCCTGTCTTTGTGGGTTTTATTGTATAAAAATTGCCAATTTCAGGAACAGCTTCTTCATCTACCTGAAAGTAAAAATTGACAGGATGGTGCCCTGGCTCTTGTTGGGGTCAGAGATTTTAGCCTTGGCTGTCGGCATCATTATCTATGACCTCACTGAATCTCTGCCGAATTAACAACAGCAATATCACCTGCCTCGGAATTTTTGGGAACCAAGTATTAGACTGGATAAACGATTTTTCTTTTCTTTTTTCCTCACTGGATTTGGATATGCTGCTTCATTCATGGCAGTCATCTTCTCTGCTGTTTTCCTTCTCTTTTCTCTCTGGACACACAAACGCAAGATGCAGAAAAACTCCATGAAGGACCTCAGCATGGATGCCCACATCAGAGCCATGAAATCTATTCTCTCCTTCTTAGTGATGTACAGCATCAACTTTGTATGTTTGGTCTCGACAATAATTTATAACATGGAGAATGAAAATATCATGAGACTTCTTATATACATATATCTGTGTGCTTTTCCAGGAGTTCATTCCCTTATTCTGATTTTCAGCAATCCCAAGCTGGAAAAGGCACTGCTAAAGATTCTCTCCTGGCTGAAGTGTGACTTTTCTATGAAGTAGGAACTCTGATAAAAACTGGAGCTCATGCAAAATGTTGATCTTTCACCATAGAAAAGAAGTAGTTTAATTTCTAATGCAGCTCTCCAGGCAGTGTAGATGATACCAATGTTCACTGTTCAACATCTCAGTTCAGAAAATATCATTCATATCTATTGAGCTAAATGTTTCTGAGTTCAAGATATTATTATTGTATTTAGATTTAGCTAAATCCTTGAGCTATATTTTAGTTCTTATCAAAGTCATTTAGCCCTGATTGTAGGAATGATGCCTGTCCCCCTGTGTGCTGAAGGGATTCATGTGGCCATGAGCGTCTGCTGCAGGGGTGAGGGATTATCAGGCAGAGGCCCCTTACCTCTGCCTGAGCCCGGTGGAAGAGGGAGTGATGCTAATGAAGTGTTCAGCCCCTGCCCAAGACTCACAGCCTTTGCAATCAGAGCCCTTGGTATCCCTCATTTCCTCATCAGCTGCCTGCCCACCACCATTTACCATGGCAGCAACTGGGTATTTTGACTGCAGCCTCACCCTCCACATTTGCACTTCTCCCAGAAGCAGACATTTGGCATTTGAAATCCTGCCTGGCACAGGATGGCAATATGACCCCCCTGTGCAGACAGGACAGCAGGATTGCTGTGCTCTCCAAAGCAGGGAACACCTTCTGTAAAGATTTGCTCTTCCAACTGTGTCAGAATGTACCCTGGTGAAATTCTGTTTAGAGGCCTAACTGATGGTGAAGTTGTGCTCAATGACTTACACATTGCACTCTTGGTTTGAGTTTTTTTGAAATATATTTAGACTTCATGCAGTGAGTGTATTTCTTAGTAGCAAGTCCAAATGTGTATTTCTACAATAAAATGCATTATTTGTGATGCTGTGACTGTGAAAGTTCTCATTGGACATGACACGACTGAGATGCTGAATTGGAAATAATCAGAAATGAAGCTGAGCTACATCCTGGCCCTTTGAGCTCTGAGGACCAGCAAAAGGTTCATTTTCTGCCAAATTTCTATACTCTTAATGTAACAGAAAAATATGAACACTGGTCCACAAATTGGCTGCAATACAGGGAAGAACAATACTACAAAGCTGTCACAAATGTTTGGGAATTCCCTGGATGAAATGGCGGCAATAAACAGATTTTATGTCTATTTTGGTTTTCCTTTCTCTCTGCTGTGGCCCTGTGCTCTGTGATACATTATGGGCTGTAGCACTGTCTGGCAGTGGCTGGTAGCTCTGTGTGAACACGCTGAGCCCTGGCACCCCCAGAGGTGTCACTGATGCACAAAGAGCGAGGCAGGAACGG